CCAAATTGCTTGGGCTCTGTAATTTATACCCTATGAAATGCATGGTAGCTGAATATGCAATTATTATTTTATTTGTTTGGGTAATCATGAGCTGCTCTGTATAAATTTCTTTGTCTTAAATAGATTTGCTACGTTTTTGTAGAGTTTTTGGCTGTCATATTGAACCGTTCAAACTAAAGAAAATGAATTGTTTCTCCATCAAATGTGGCTATTGCCCTTAATAAATATTTTCCCATGTTCTGGGAGGCTAGGCAACAGAGATCCTGTTAACTTTAGCCAAATGTTAATTGAATATTTTTAATTATGAAAGATTTACCACTAATAAATACTTTATTTTTAGGAAAGAATTAGAAAAACTACGAAAAGATTTGGAAGAAGAAAAGGCATTGAGGAGTAACCTAGAGGTAATTCAGTTTTCCCCATATTGAGATTGCAGTCAGCATAAACTGGATGTGTTTTTTTTTTTCTCCAACCTAATTAGGTTAGTGATTTCACTACAAATTATGCTGCCCTGCTTCAGTTGGACACTCCCTGTCGCTTGATAGCCATTTAATTAATCTCTTGTCGACTCCCTGTCACATTCCACTCATTCATTTAGCAAATATTTGTCAGGCACTTTCTTTCTTAGGCACCGTGTGTCTACTAATGTGAATAGCGCTTAAAAGTTTCTATGTCAAGTTCCACATCTTTTTTGCTCAACATTGCTTCTGCCTTGAGGTAGCTGTATGTAATTCTCTCCTCTTCATCCTGAGTCTTCATTTTGTATACTTCTTTCTGAATACATTAGAGAAAGTTGTACCCTGCCATTTTTCAGAGGCTCTTCCCATTCTCCATTTAAGCATTTTGTACTCCTCCTTATTTTCATCTTGTCTCATTACTTGTCCATTTTCTTATCAGCATTGTAGGATAGAGATAACGTGGGGCTAGCATTTGGAAGACTTGAGCTCCAATTCTTATTACACTAGTGACTAACTTTGAATTCTTAATTCTATGTCATTTAGACTTTAACTCTTTCTGCATATTACCTCTTTGGTTACACATAACAAGTTGTAAGGATTATTCTTCCTGGTTTAAGGATAAGGAAACTAGAGTTTAGACTTGATTAAATAACAGCAGTGTAGTTGAAATTTTTAACAGAAGCAGCCAGACTTCAGAATTTTTGCTTTTAATGATTATGTTATGCTGTCTGTACTAGCTTGGGCAAGTCACTTAATCTCCTTTAGCTTTAGTTATTGTGGTAATATATGTAAATGTAATTTGTAAGTTACCAGATACTTCACATTTACTTTTGTGTGTGATACTCTGTTCCTTCCTTTCTGTCTGTGAAAATACTAAGAATTTTCCTCTGTTTGCCCCCCCCCCCCAAAAAAAAAAGCCCTCCTTCAGGTCCCAGTGCTTCTTGATCTACCACAGTCCTTTTATTTTTATTTTAGGATTTATTTAGGATTAAAATGTTTTATTTTCTGTTTAAGATTCATTTTCTGTAAAACAAAACAATCACCCAGCCAAACCAAGCCTACATTTTGTGGCCTCTGATTCTTCATCATCAGTTTAGTGCTTAACTCCTTTGCATTTTAGGTTAACTGATGCAAAATCCAATGTTTCTTCTTCAATTTCTGTAACATTTTCACTTTTACCACTGCCTCCTTTTCAGAGGTGTGTCTTGGTTTGTGTGATACTGCATTCTTCTGTCTGTAACTTTATCTCTTTTTCCTTTCCTGTAGCCTAAATATGGGTGTTCCTTCAGTACTATCATTGGCCTTCCTCTCTGCACATTCACTCTTTGGTTATCTAAACCCGTGAATCCATTGATTAGTTCTAATGTATCTCCTCTCTAAATCTAACTCTTCTCTTCCCAGCTTCTGTCCTATATTCCCAGCTATTAGGCCCCCTAGATGTTCTACTAGGAGCTCTGGTAGCATAGTGGCTAAGGCACTTGACTGCTAACCAGAAGGCTGGCGGTTCAAACCCACCAGCCACTCCTCGGAAGGAAGGTTGGGCAATCCTACTTCCGTAGTGATACTGCCTCGGAAACCCAAGGAGGGGTCGCTATGAGTCGGGGCCGACTCGACGGCACATAACAACAACAACAACAGATGTTCTACTGGGAACTTATACTTAGCTTGTCCTCAATTAAATTCATCATCTTCCTTTTCTGTTCCTCCTGATTGTCTATTTCTGCTGATGGCACATTTATTCTAATCATCAGACATTGCACTTTTGCTTTCTTTTAAGTCTGTTCTTTCACACTTACTTGCTTTCTTGCTCTCTCTTTTTATAATTTTGATTTCGGTGAAAGTTTACAGAGCAAATTGGTACTCCATTCAACAGTTGATACACATTTTGCTTTGTGTGACATTCATTGCAGTCCTCACAATGTAACAGCACTCTACCTACTTTCTCCCTGTGTTAACTGTTCCTCTTAATGCGTCTTCCCTCTCTCTTCTGCCTTCTGAGCTTTATCACTGGGAAAATGCTGCCTTTTTGATCTTTTATAGTTGATTTTTCTAATGAGTGCATACCTTCCTGATATTACTGTTCATCTTATAGGTCTGTCTGTGATTTGGCTGAAAGTTAAGCTACAGGGATGAGTTTAGTTGCAGGCTTTAAGGGTGTCTAAGGTCCACAGTCCAGGGGAGTCCATCAATATCTGTCAGACCAGTAAGCCTGATCTTTTTTTTATGATTTTGAGTTTGGGTTCACATTTTTCTCCCACTCTCTCTCTGATCTCCTGTTGTGATCTTTTTGAGAATGGTCAGCAGTGGTGGCTGGGTACCATCTAGTTCTTCTGGTCTCAGAGTCATGGAGGCTAGGGCTGGTTGGTCCATTAGTTCTTTGAACTGATTGCTTCCTTGTGTCTTTGATTTTCTTCACTCTTACTTGTTCCACACAGGAAGAGACCAATAATGGCACCTTAGATGGCTGTTCACAAGCTGTTAAGACACCAGTCACACTATTCACTGAAGTCGAATGTAGAACATTGTCTTTGTGGACAGTTTAATGCCACCTTACCTTATTGTCCCAAGACTATGGTCCTGAGCCCTCATGCCCAGCAACACATTCCCCTCAACATGTTTATATGACTAAGAAGTTTTCATAACTTTGCTCCCTGTATGCTCTACTCTATCCATGGATATATATGCAGCTCTTATAAACACATAAGTAGGCATATCTTCTGTCAGACTTCGGTATATTCATGATTGCACTGTCCCTTACTTTTAACTCTTCATTATTTCTATTTTTCCCGTTTTGTTCTTTTTAGCTTGCTCCTGTTTCTCTCATTCTTGTCTTCATATTAATCTTTTCTTGCTTAGGTACTTTCAGGACCTTTCTATTACTTCCTAAATGAAGTTCAGACTTCCTCACTTAGCTGATTGTTCCTTTATTTCTTTGTCCTAGTTCATTCTTTCTTTCCTCACTTACTAAGCCTTGATTGTGCCTTTTAGTTGATTAATCTGAAGTTTTATTCTTACTGTATTTTTCGGGATTGTCCTTTTGCTTCATCTTGTCATGCTCACTTTCTGTAGATTATCAAGGTCCAGCTCATCCATCACCTTCTTTAAATTAGTATCAGTCTTCCTCCAATTAAACGTAATTTTGTCTTCCTCCAAATTCACATTCTTTGAGTTGGGAACAATGACAAGTGTTTTCTTTTTTTGTTTGTTTATTTTATTAAGTGATGTGTAAGGAGTATTTTTCTGTCTTATTAGTATTTCATTATGTATCATGTTATGTGCATGCCTTGTTCCTCTCTAAACTATTAGACATTTTAGGGTGGAGATCCTTGTCTGTTTCATCTTTGCCCGTGTATCCTATCACAGTCTGTCTGTATACATATTAGTTACCTAATGTTGAATTAATACATATTAAATGTTAAGAATGTTTTAAATTCACAGTATGTCTGTGGGATGTAGAATGGAGACCTTTTTAAAAGTGTTTCTTGATTTTTATTCCTTACATTTTATGCATACATTTATATGTTTACACATGGAAATAAAGATAATTATCTGATTATAAAGTGATGGAAACAAGTACAGTGTTTAATATGCATATATGATTTAATTTGTCATGTAGGTCATGACAGGAATCAAATGAGGTTTTTCTATTTTGAGCTATTTAATTCAGTTTTCTAGTATATACATTCATTATTCCAGCAAAGCCAACAGTTATTTAGCTGACTTGTATGTCATTGAATTATATCATAACTTGTTTTCTTAATGGGAAAATTTTGGCCCTGGTATTTATAAAGGTACACTTAATAACACATTAAAATGTTAACATCATATATTTACAGAGCACATGTTTCTCCAAAGATTCTACAGGTGCTACTTTTAACTATTTGTTAACACTGTACAGTATTAAAACTATACTGAGGTATGATAAAAAGTTCTAGGAATGAACAGTGAACATAAAATACTGGAAGAGAAACCCTAGCAGTATAAGTATTTGCCTGATAACTAAATCTATGTCACAAGTAACAGTTTGTGAACAGCATTACTGACGTTTTATATGGGGTTATTCTTCCCACCCTTTTTTCCTGTTCTGCCAATGTTGTTTTTACTTACCGCTTTCCATGCATCTTTCTTTGCCCATTAAGCTTGGTACGTCTAGCTAATTTATCTTTGGATAAGAGACGCACATTACGATGAAGACTGAAATATTTTATCTTAGTAGAGTTGAAGACTAAAGCTTGTCCCAATCCAGTGCTGCTACGTTGTATAGTTATTAATCATATTAATAAAAGAATAATAATACCAGGAAAGATCCTGAAATTAACAAAACATTCTTATATGATTGTAATCACTTACGAGATTAGGGGCATATCCAAATTACTCTTTTTAACCGTGGCAAAGTGCCTATCATTTAATATTGTCTATTTATCAGAGGTTAGCCGTAGTATTGAAGATGGTAGTAGTAGTATTTCCATGACATATGCAGTCAAAGGTCAAAAATGTCAAAATACTAAATAAATGGAATGAGAATATGGAAAGCATGGACTTTAGAGCCCTAGACCTTAACTAATACTCATCCTGTGCCATTTGGTAGCATGGAAATGTTACCATGCTCTACTTAATCCCTCTGAGCCTCAGTTAAATCGTTTGTAATATATCAAAATTACATAGTTCTCTGTAGTTATTGTGAAAAATGTAATGAACTAATTTCCTTCTTTCTTTGTTCTTTAAGTTGTGAATTTCTATTAGGTGAAGAATGCCTTCTGTTTAATGGTGGCAATATGTTTTACACATTGACTAAGTCTTAGAGATATTCCTGGGATTTGGAGTTTAATCTAAAACAGACTGTTTATACACGGGGAAACAGACCAATGGAGGTTAAATGATTTAATCTCACTAGTGAAAACATAGAACCAAACCTGATCTCTTTATTCTTTTTACATTCTATACTGCCCCCTTTGATAAATTACAGATTCAGTTACATTTGTTAATTTGGTTTCAAAGGTTCATCTTAGACTCCTCATTTTTTATAGTTCTTTTCAAATGCTCCCATTACTTCACATTGCTCAAGCTCAAAGAACTACAGTTGCATTTTTCTTGTCGTCACCTACCATTAGAAGAACTGATACTGTGATGTTTTCTTCTCTTTCAAAACTTTTTCATATTTATTGCACTATTGAAACGATATCCAGAAGTTTGAAAGTATGATCAGGATTAGATCTTAATGACATAGGGTAAAACAAACTTTCTTATTGTTCGCTGCCATTGAGTGGGCCCTTGACTCATGGCAACCCCATAGACAATAGAATTGGGTGGACCATTGTGATCCATAGGGTTTTCATAGGCTGATTTTTTTTGGAATTTGATCACCAGTCCTTTCTTCCTAGTCTGTCTTAGGTTAGAAGCTCTGCTGAAACCTGTTCAGTATCATAGCAGCATGCAGGACTCCACTGGCAGATGGGTAGTGGTTGTACTTGAGGCAGGTTGGCCAGGAGTCAGTCCTGGGTCTTCCTCATGGAAAGGGATAATTCTACCCCTGAAACACCAATGCCCCATAAAGAAGCTTTACTAAAGGAAAATATTTTATGTATTGCCCAATTTTTATTTTCTATTTTAGGTGGAAATAGAGAAGCTGAAAAAAGCAGTCCTATCTTCTTGAGGTGGCATGAGATCCAGTGTTTAATGTTCCAGGGATTTGGAAACAACACTGTTAACTTCAACTGACTTGTTACTTAAAAATAACAAATGATGGTGTTGTGAAAAATGAACTTTAAGATCTGTAGAAAAGTAGGGGTGACTGAAGTTTTTATATATATTTTGTTTTGCCAATATGAAAATAAAAAAAGAGGCCTTATTTCTTATTGTACTGGAATTGCAAACTTTTTTTTGTTTTTGTTTGCTTGAGAATACTACTGAATCTGTATAAAAAGGAAAGAAAATTCTTAATAGTTTTTTTTACTGAAACTTGTATTATTATTTTTTAAAAGATCTATACTATAAATATGGTGATATCTTTACAGGTAATCTGTAAAATACACTATTTGAGAGGGACAAATTAGCTTTATAATAACTATAGTCACTACTTTTCCCATAATACATAAGGGATATAAACTCTGTGTGTGTGCGTGTATGTGTGTGTGTGTGTGTGTGTATACACACTTTTTTTTTTTTAGCTTTCTTACCCAGGATTACACTGTTGTGCCTGTTTGTCTGCAGTGCTGTTTATACTTTGGGTGATGAAATAGAACTTTTCTAATTATAAACCAGATAACTCACCCATGCGTGTAGTAATAACTAATGAAATAATCAAAGTAATTTCTTCAACTTTTAGATTATTTCATATTGCTTGCACTATAGGATTCATAAAAGGAATTTATTTAAAATGGATTGTTAAATATATTTGGGAAAATATAAGCTTTTTATTTCAAATTCACTAGATCTAAGGAATCTAAAACTGTCCATTTACCCCTTAACTTGGTGTGCCTAGAAACTATCATACATATATGCAATTACCAGCCTGATTGCTGTAATTTTCTGCTTATTTTATAGATTCAGGTATTACTTATTATATGATTTTTTAATTTAATTCTCCATGCCCTTTCCTTTGATTTTTAATAATGGTAACATTAGGAGAACAAAACTGAAAACTTCAGAACTTCAGTGTGAAGTCTCATACTTTGACAAAGTATCATCAGGTAAACATCCAGGTTTTACAATATATAATTACCTAATAGACCTAGTTAACTTGTGGCGATATTTTGTACTGTCATTTAGGTACCAGCTTTATAAAGAGTGTTGTTAGTACATCATAAACCATAACATTACAGCTTACTTTAAACCAGATCCAGTTCACCGTATTTGAAATGTATTTTCACAAAATGGGTGAATTAACAATTTTTTTCTGAGTCATGTATGATTAGTTGAATATATAAAGTTGTTCTATCTTTAGAAAATACATATAAAAATGTGGATTTACATTAAAATAAACATTTGCCATTTTTCTCACTTGCAAAAACATTACGCTTTAAATTTTATTATAACAAATAACAGTAGGATATTGAGTACCAACTATCATTGTTTTAAACAACCTGACATTTTTCCTTTAAACTTCAGTATTAGCTGACATCTTACATAATTTAAAATTTCTCATGTTTGAAATAAAACTGAAGTAGAAATAAATGAAATGACAATATGCAGTTACTTAATATGGAGTTCACCACTTGTCTCAGTGCTTTTGGGGAAAGCTGAGTTTGCATTGAGGTGTACATTTTACCTCTTTAAAATCTTTGAGCTCTTCTAATAAGATCACTGCTAAACAATATTGCTCCCTCTTATTCTGACATTTTTAAATGACTAATCAGTTCAATAATGCCCTTCTTGGTAATTAAATTAGATCTTTTTCTTTTAATGGCTGTCCTTAGATAAAAATAACGTCACTGTATCCTAGAAATCTCCTTCAGCTTTCTCAGTGGAAAATGTATTAAGTGGTCTTTTCCACCTCAATGGCCCGTGGAAGGTTCCAGCAGATTTCAGGCTATTCTTAAAAGCTTTTGTTGGTCATTTTCCCACTAATGAATAAAATCAAGATGGTCATGAGTACTGAAATACATTTTAAGTTTTTGCTTGCGTATTCCTCTGTTGAATTAGGAAAGTGTCTCTTTTTATGCCCTTGACCAAACAGTAAAGAAAGGAAAAACAAACTCAAAGGGAAAAAAAAATAATTAATTTTATTTAGCATCGTACCAGTATTTGCTATTGATATGGGAACGTTTATTAATTCTCATTCATATTCATAAAATTTATGTCCCACAATGGTCTGTAATAACAATAGCCTTTACCTAGGAGTAAATAATTACATTATTATTTTTTTAACATGAATATAAATGATTGACTCTAAAGATGAATAGCATAGTTTCTATCATTGCCAAATTATTGGTGAATATATTATTTAGGTTTGTTATTCTCTGAAACACATAATATTGCTAATTACTTAATTGTATTCCAGTATTATGAGTATTTTTTGTGTATGTGACCATTAAGTTTCTGTCTGTCTTTACAATTGTTACCTCTTAAAAACTTAAGTCTAAACATGCAAAGAGAGAATGGGCCTGGTTTAACAGAGGATTCTCTTATTTTACTCTCCTTACTGTGATTATAGAAAAAAAAAAAAAAAAGTGCTCTTTTGGCAAACATTTTATCCTTACATTTGAACTTGAAATGTATGACCAGAATGAGACAATCAGTTAAAATGAGAAATGAGAAGTATTGTAATTTAATGGCCTTGTTTTGCTGTAGCAATAAAATGACCAAGTGCAATGACTTGATTTAATAGAATTATCTTTTAAAAGTTGCTGCTATGAATTTTTAGCCATAAATTTCTACCCTTGTTTTAGTCTGACTTGCCTTCAGTAACTATTATATAATGCAGTTGATGTTGTGGTATTCTAACATTCCAAAAAAAGTATGGAGAATCTCAGAATAGTGTATTTCACTGACTTGTTTACAGGTGCTGTAAAAATGCATGCTTCTCTCTCAAAATGAAAAATTAATAAAGAAGAGTATTGCCACTTGTGTCAGTCTTCATTGGTTATTTTTCATTAACTTCAGCATGTGCTTATGGTAGAGTATGATGCAAATTATTTTACATCGTGTTTTCTAAATTAAGAAAATCGTAAATAAAAGCATTATAAGTTCTGTGTGACCTTCATTTAACCTTTGTATATGTATTTTTTTCATCTAAAACTGTGAGATGAATTCCTTCTTCACATAATTATTTGGAGAGTTTGAAATGATTTAAAGTTCCTTGTTGAGTGCTTGGCATACAGTAGGTATTTTTTTAAAAAATGACAACAAACCAAACTGCTGTTATTTTGGCTTTTCTCAAAAACAGTTTACCAAGATGGATATGATATGAATTGGATGAGTAAAATTAAAGAAGGCCCCCTACTTCCTCTTGCTCTGTTGTTGAATACAGCATTCCTTTCTTTGAGGAAGATACTCTTTTTCATTTGTTATATTGTTTAAGTGGGAGCTGCTCCCATTTTATAGGCTGTACTTCCCTGGTCACCCTTTAATTAGCCCAAATTGAGTTTATCAGAGACTAAGATTTTAGAAATTGGAAACAGAAAGAACTAGTCTCAGCATGGGCACTCGCCACAGTCATATTTTTCTGTGATCTGGGGAAAGCTGATTTGAAAGAACAAAACAGTAGAGAATAAGAAGAGATGGGACCAGAATCCAGAAAACTCTTCAATCTGACTACATTCCTGAACCTCAGCTGTCCACTCTTTCGTTCTGTGAGCATAAACTTGCTGATAAAACTATTCAGTTTCTGACCTTGCAACTGAAAAGGTCCTTATGAACACTGAAAATATGGTGGAGTTAAGCCACCAAGACCTACATACTCTTACTGAAAGTATGCCACATATGGCTTTCTAGACACTGAAGAATAATTGAACCTTGCAGGCACAGGATAATGAAATTTTTGGATTTTAGAATTTTAGTGTTTGAGGACATTTAGAAGTTGTCTAATCTGATCCATCTCTAGATAGATTTTTTTTTTTCTGAAAATAAAATTAGCAGATTTAACCTCCAAAGAAATGAAAGCAGGTAAGAATTTAGCTCAAATACATCTTTTAGGCTATATTGCTTTCCAGTTAAGATTCAAGAATGAGACTGGATATGTTTTTTTTTCCTGAATCCTAACCATTATTCCTTTTATTTTACTAGCAACACCTTATTTGCCAATCTTTTTATTCCATATAAGAAAAATGAATTTAGGAATAGGAATGGGTATTTTTTGTGTAGAGCCCATTTTTTTTTTTGTCACAAGGTTGTGTGGTGTACTCAAGGTTGTATATTCTTTCCTATCATATTAGATAGCTTTCACACTGAGTAACTTTTTAACCCTTTAGTAATGGAAATCACTTCATATTTTATGGTATGTATTGTTAGAAATAATTGAGCAGAATAAAAATCTTATAATTTGATGTGATAAAGTGATGTTTTCACTCTCCCTTGAAAGCATTAAATACAACAAATGGAATAAAAAGTAGATTTAATATTTTAAAATCCCCCTCAATGAGGAAACCCTAATTTATAATAACAGTGATAAAAACACTGCCATAGAGCTTTGGAATTTTGGAGTGACATGAAGAGCAGTTGCTCCATAGGGAGCGGCCCATGTGTGTCACGGTAGGATTGTGCTCCACAGGATATTTGGTGGTTGATTTTCTGGAAGTAGGTCTCCAGGCTTTCTTGTGAGGCACTTGCTGGGGGACTTGGATTTCTCTCTGTTCTTTTGATTCCAAAAACTAAATCCATTGCCGTCAAGTTGATTCTGACTTCTATGCTGTAGGACAGCGTGGAACTGCCCTATAGGGTTTCCAAGGTTGTCAGTCTTTAGGGGAGCAGACTCTGTATTTCTCCTGCTGAGTGGCTGGTAGGTTTGAACCCATGACCGTTTTGGTTAGCATCCAAAAATGGGACATAAATCTCCCGAGACCCTTGTGCAAGATCTGATCATAGGCCTAAATGCTGTGCAGCAGAATGATGGGATGTGAAACGGATAGAAACTTTGCTGACTCTTAAGTGCTATTAACAATCTGCTGAAAAATGAAGTGAGGGAGACTTTCTTCTCTGGAAGACAAGGTAACAATTGATGGATGTCTTAGATAACATACTGAGTTAAGCCTAGTTGTTCTCAT